TGACCCGTGGACCGTCCTACCTTCTTCTTCCCGATCCCCCTAGCCTTTTCCTTGATGGGTGCTACGACTCCACCATCTGAAGTCTCACTACCCCCATCGTGCTCTGTGAACTCCCCAAGATCCGAGTAGTCGTCAATCTTCGTCGTTTGACCATCGTGGTCAACGAACATTAACTGACCCTTTTTCTTCCAATTTTGGGGCAGTCTCTTCCTACCATCGTTGGGGGCCTGATGTGCAGATCCTAGCTTTGCCTCGATGTCCAGAGCTTTCTTACTAAACGAATCGAGCGTGTGCTGTTCAACATAGGCTTCGTCAACCAGCTTGGTCCTTACTTCTAACGGTAGGCACCTTAGGTAATCCGTTAGGAGAACCTGCTGGTCAAAACGCACACCAGGTACCACGATTAATCGTTCTACGGCGTCCGTCAGCTCTCTAACATTCTTGAACCTTCGGGAACAAAGACTGTTGATAGCGTCAGTGGCCTTGTGAGCCCCTTGTGGGTCATGCCACCTGTTGTATACGGACCGTATGAACTCTTCCAATGTTTGAGATTGTGCCCAGGCATCGAAGTTTTGACCGTAGCCCTGTTGCTGCACTAAGCCATTTAACCAGCGGGCTGCTGACCCTTCTAAAAAGGAGGCAGCCACTACAACTTCTTGCTCTGGCCTTGTGAGCTTGTGCCTCACATAAGTAGCACAGTTTTCACCCAAGTGTCCAAGTCTTCCTCCTTCTTCTTATCGCCAGAGAAGGGCTTGGGACTCATCAAAGCTATCTTGGGCATCCACTGCATAGGCTGCATGGGCCCAGGTGCTTGCTGCAGCGGCTGCATAGCCACTGAAACAGGCTGTTGCATACTAACCTGAGCCTGGCTGGACAGTGGGACTGTAGTGACCACTGTTGTAGATGGTACGGCTGAGACTGAATGAACCGGACCACTAGTTGCTACTAAACCACCCGGGGAGGGTATGCCAAACATGGGAGAGAAAGTTTGCCATGTGCGTTGCGGCATCGATGATGGACCCGCAGCTGCAGGGGGAACTACAACAAACTGTGGCGGCCTCAGCCAGAATTTGTTTCTGGCCTGCTACCAAATCAGCCAACAATTCCTGCTGAACGCTTTGCGCTTCTGCCACTGAAAGTAAGGCTCCTCGCAGCACACGGACAGCAGGGTCTAATGTTGACTCATCTAGTCTTTCCAGTCTGCCTAGCTCCTGAGCTCTACTCTCTAGTCTAGCCTTTCTTTGCATAGCTTTCCTTCTCCTCTCTACCACATCATCCATCTGCCGCTGTAACTCATCCTGAAGTTCTTCTGCCTGGCGGATTTCTAAGTCCTCCGGTGTGAGTGGAGACTGGCTGACTCGCACATGACCAATCTGACTAATGGGAACCTGAGAACCACCCTGACTGACTCCTGACGAAGAGGGCTGTGTAGAGGGTTGCGTCATATAGATGAGGTAGCCATGGCTGCACTGATGCTAGCTGTAACATTAGCCCTACCACTGTCCTCGGCTGCCCTCGCTCTCCTTGCCGCTGCCCTCTCTCTAGCCTCTCTCCTCAATCTTCTCTCGTCTCCTGGACCTAACTCCAAGTATGTCAAGGGTCGACTGCGGGCAGTCCCGCGAGTAGTCCTACGGTCGTCCACTAGTAACTCCTCCTCACTTGTGCTTGCATCACTCATGAGCTACAGTGTGTGTGATCTAAACTAGAATCCACACTGAATCCTACCTTAGCTTGACACACATCCGCATATGATACACAACTACTTACGGTCGGCTGGAACAGAAATGATTAGGTGATGTAGTTGCAACTAATGTCAGGTCCTACAGGATATATTAATTCTATTTTTGAATTACCCTGGAACAGATTGCACTACAGCAAGGATTTAATCTATCTGTAGTTGTCTGTCAGTTGTTAGCGAAGTCTGTCACAACTRGATAATCAAAATAAAAATAACATCTCCTGTTGGAGATGTACACTGAATGGCAGATTGTATGTTGATTGCCACTGCGAACAGTTACCGGAATCCCCCCTCCCCCTGTATCCTTCTCGAGTAATCACTTTGTGTCAACGTCCCTGAGCATCTGGTTGAGCAGCGTGTCTAAAGGTGTGCAATCCGGTCCCACCCCTGTGCCTCAAGTCATCGTCGAGCAAGGCAGCCACAA